GGGCTGGATTGCATCAGGTTTATCGATTTGCACTTGGATCAATTGCTGGAGGTAATCATTAATTTACTCTGTTATTTTACAGTAGCCCAATTTGTTGTTTGCCAGAAAATCTAGCTGGGACTTTCTTTAAAAATAATATAATTAAAAAGATGTTTTTATAAAGAAGTACTAATAAAGTCTTTCCTGTAACATAGGTATGCAGCTTCATCCCATATTTCCTTTTCCTATATATCCTCTTAGTTTTCGATTATCAATTCTTCTTAGCATACAACCATCTTTCTCTTCAATGACTGACTTTTGCATGTCATCGCATATACTCAGCACAGACCTGCTCAGTCAAATTTCATGTACATGAATAAGTTTGAAGCAACCTGCTTTCACTAATATTGATAGATTATAAATATATTTCTTATTAAACAGCAACTGGTGCTACTGCAGTATACCCTATTGACTTGGTCAAAACAAGAATGCAAAATCAACGTGCTGTACTTGCAGAGGAAAAACTGTACAAGAACAGCTTTGACTGTGCTTTGAAAGTTTTCAGAAATGAAGGGTTACGAGGATTTTATAGAGGTATTTCACATGATGTAATTTGAATGATTAGCTGGAAAAAAAGAATACTATCCCTTGAATTGGATTTTTGACACTTTTTTTTGATCCTAGGTCTTTTGCCTCAGCTTGTTGGAGTATCCCCAGAAAAAGCCATCAAACTAACGGTAGTTCATTTCAATGCTAATCTTAAATTAAATATTATCTAGATTAGTATTAAATGTCAGTAGGAGCCACTCAGATCCAACACAGATGTTAATAATAATAAATTGATAACTTTAATTGATCATTGTATTTTCAGACCAATGACATGGTGCGAGGGTTTTTTAGCGATAGTGATGGTTTTATCAGTCTTCCCTATGAAATCATAGCTGGTGGATGTGTAAGTACAATTAGATGTTGTGAAAACACTCTCTATATTTTTGGCTAAGATTAGGAAATATGAGTGACAGTTCTTTACATGATGTGTGCTTCCTCTGATCATGTAGAAATCAAGTTGTACAAGGTCGAAAGACATTCACATTATAAACTAGCTGTATCAAAAATATACAATGCTAATATATTTGATGCTAAAGCTGAAACAAGAATGTTCTCCATTATAGGGAGGAGGAGCACAGGTGCTTTTCACTAATCCTCTAGAGATTGTCAAAATTCGCTTACAAGTTGCAGGGGAAGTTGGCCAACGAGTTACTGCCTGGTCAAGCATCAAGGAACTTGGATTGACTGGCCTTTATAAGGTATAATATCAAATCAATCTAGGATGCATTTTATCCAATTGTTCTTCTTTTTGTTCAATAACTAAAGCTGATTCAGTGTATGTTATCATTACTTTCAGGGTGCACGTGCATGTTTTCTGCGTGATATTCCATTCTCCAGTATTTATTTCCCAGCATATGCTCACTTGAAATTATCTCTTGCTGATGAAAATGGTCATAATGGAGCTGGTAGTTTGTTTGCATCAGCCATGATAGCAGGTAAGGTCTTTTCAGTATTGATGATATTGAGGGAGACATTCAGATGTTATTCAAATATTTCTCTCTCAAAAATCTCTTCAGGTGTGCCAGCAGCTTTTCTTGTTACTCCAGCAGACGTTATTAAAACTAGATTGCAGGTACACTCTCATTAGCTATTAATTTTAACTGATCTATCATATTATTGATATTTCATTTTCTTTGTGTGTGTTTTTAATGCTACAGTGTTGCAAGTATGCCTAAAATGAAATGTATGCAATGTTATTCTGTTTATGGTTCATTTACGATAGGTCAAAGCACGTCGGGGACAACAGACATATCGTGGTGTATTTGATGCCTTTACTAAAATCTGGAAAGAAGAAGGTGGCCGTGCCTTTTGGAAGGGTGGTGGTGGTAAGAATGAATGAACTAATATATAAGCAAGAGGAAACATGCACTTGGTTACTTGGAAGAAGATTTTCATAGAACACAACAAATATCTCACTATGATTGATGTTATAACTTGAATTCTTCTGTTTGTTATTGGTTCTCTCTTACTTTCTTAATTTGTTCTATAGCACGTGTAATTCGTTCATCCCCTCAGTTTGGTGTTACACTATTGACATATGAACTTCTACAAAGGTTGTTTAACGTCAATTTTGGAGGGTAGGTTAATATGTAGTACTGGGGGTAGTTCAAAGCTTGTTTAGCACTAATCAACTCTTTAAAAACTTATGAAGTTAACAATGGATTCATGCTAATCAGGCTTTGAGCAGCCTGCTTGTAAGAAGACATTTTTATTGTGCACATGATGTACAAGTTTACATGATGGTTGTAGCAATGAAAGTAGCCACGTCTGCCAGCAACTCTTTATTTTTTTTTATTTTGGGATCCCTCTGTTATCCTCTTGGCCGAGCAGGGACCTTTGGTCCCACCAACATATTGAGGAAGACAGGAAGCCCAAAAGTACAAAGAAGAGCTGAAAGGAAGAGTGTTGAGGCATGTTGTGATGGATGCAATGAAGACATGATAATTTATTTTCTTCCAATTTCAGTTCCACCACCAGTTCTAAATCAGATATGATACCCACAAACCCTGATCTCTCTCTAAATCCTGACCACATTGGAGGGATGCGTGTTGCTGTGGCAACGTATGCTGGCATTGAGACAAGATTTGGTCTGTGTCTTCCAAAGTTTCGTACTCCACAGAAAGTGACTTTAAAGAGTGAACAGAAATGAACAAGAGAACGTGGTAGTTGGTCTGTACTGACCTTAAAGAACTGATACTCACAATATTAAAACAACACTGTCTTCCCATGTTCACTTTAAAGAGAAGAACACACTTTGTGAAGTCAACAAAATGTTCTTATTGCTCTTCAAATCACTGAACAGGATAAACTAACACACAGGAATGGCCATAGGAAGCCCACAAGTAGAAGACAAAAATAACCCAATGCTGGCCCAAGTTGCTAATTTAGATTTGTGATACAAAAACAATTATCAATATTAAAATTCATATGCAAACTAAGGTCTTTTGATTCTCCTATTTAATATGTTAAGTATCACCCTGGCATGATCCATGAACATCATTCTGAACAACTATCATCACATGGAAACTACCAAAAAATGGAAAAGATCTTTGAAAAAGCCCAGATGTACAAAATGTGAAAGGTTTTTTCCCCTCAAATGGCAACATTTTGTGATTTATATATCAAGACAACTATGATAGTTGAGTTATTTTTATTCCATCTGAATTTGAATCTAGTGATATCATGAAAAAATGTTTTTTATACATTTTACATTGCTTGCATAACCACAGGTTGTAAAATGATATACTGTAGTACATTATCAATGCATTGATGAAGTGACGGGGGTTTTCAAATCCAAAATTCATGATATTGCTGTACAGTGGTTGATTAAGTAATATTATTATTCTAATGTTAAGAACTTTTAAATCTCTTGTGCTTAGGTTGTGTTCCTTTTGCCTCCTTTTTCTGAAAGAAAGAAGCATCAAAATGTCTTTAGAACATGAATCAACCAGCTTTGTAAAAATAACTCACATTCCTCCAATGTTTTTGGAGACATTCTTTAGATATAAAATGGGATTCATAACAACAAGAGTATCAATACAATCACGCAATAGAGGGTGTAGTTTACAATGGTGTACTTACAAATCCTGGGAAGTTGTATGATATACCAAGTTTCTCTAATTTCTTTCTCTTTTTGCTTTCTTTCTTGAGCAAATTACTGACATTCTTTTCATATTCCTCTTGTGTTTTGTCCTTTGTACAAGGAATGGTTTAGGTTTCGATTAGATATCATTGATATGTGATAAAAATTCTATACTATTTTCAAAATACCTTGTTTTGTCTTTTAATTTCATTTTCATTCCTTGGCACATGGCGAAATCTTCTATTTGAGCCTTGCCATAGTCTAGGATGGATTTTATCTGGTGATACAACTTTACCTATAGATTATAAAATCATGTATGATTAGACTCTGGTAATACCTTCAATGTAGTAATATTATTTGAAAGAATTCTAAATTTACACAAAAAAAATCATGTTGAAAAAGCTTTATAATGTAATGTTCTAAGCTTTATGTTGTCAAACAACTTACATTTCAATACTCTTCCAAACATAAGATAATTATCCATTGTTTCTGCTGCAATTTTTGCCACTTCATCACAGTCGAACTCGACAAATGCATATCCTTTTGATCTTGCAGTCTAAATAATTGAATGAAAACATATGAGACATCACTAGCAAGCTGAAATTGATGTGCACTAGGGGCTGACTGACAGCATCGCAGCTTAGTTTAGCCAAACAAATAGTTTATTTACAAATCTGAAGAAGCTAACTAACCTTTTTACTTCTAGAGAGTCTGACTCGATTTACTGACCCAAACTGCTGAAAGAACTCACGTATTTCGTTTTCATAAAAACCATGGGGAATATGTCCCAAGTATATTACTCCAGGTGTGAGCTCTTCACTCTTGTCCTGCCATTGTGAAAAGTAGAAATTGAACCATATTAAAGCTTAAATAATTCTGACTAAGACATATACTATTGACATTTTAACATTTACAAGGGAGAATTTGTTACCTTAGGTTTAATTTTTCCAACCTTCTCTTCAAATTCTTTCTGTTTTTCYGAGTCTAATGCTAAAGTTTCTCTTCCTTCCYTTCCTTGTTTTTCGGCCATCTTGGACCACGTGCATTGCATTTGAGCCCGCGATCTGATCTGGTTTGTGGGCTTCCTGTGGAATACCGTTGCAATGAATGATGGGATTTTGGAGAACCACCTTAGGGAGTACAGTGTGGTGAAACACAAATAGGTATGTTGGATAATTGTGTTGCTTTTGTTTATTATGTTTTGTTTTCTATCCATTTCGATATTATATGTTTCCTTATGGGACATGTGTCTGCGGAGAAAGTGTCTCGGTCTCCAAAATACACGACTTTTTAACAATTAAGATAAAAGTCTTAATTAAGCTTAAGTTAACTTAACTTAAGTAGATCTCGATAGGGCGAGTGGACTACGAGCTGATATCCCATGAGGTCGAATACTAAAAATTAGCTTAAGCTTACTTCCTATGATGTGAATATAAATATATTAATTAATATAATTGCATGTGGAGCAAAACCATTATTGCTTTTTTTGGTTGCTTTTCTTTTATTCTCCTCTCCCTACATTTTTTTAATAAGTAAGATGGAAGCAGGTGTCAAGAAAAGTCATTCATAAGTATGGGCCTCTATGTGAACAGGAATCTACTGTACTCCAGTTAGGTTTCTTTATTTTAAACTTTTGTTTCTCTTGAATTACATAATCTGTCCTCTGCCATGTACTGAAGGCCAGGAACCAAAGTATTATACCACTTCCATTGACAATTCCATCTATATGTATTACCATGTTTTTTCTTTTTTGTTTTGTAGATAATTACAAGATACAATGAAATTAGTCATCATACTCATCACTACATTTGCTGGTCTTGTATACCTGTACACAAACCGTCAGAAGATAATCTATTATTCAAGCTATGTTAAACTCATAATTAATCTTATAGCAAGTGACAATGAAAGAACAGAAAATCATTTCTGCATTACTGCGGACATGCATTGGAATCATTTTCAGTTACAACTTCAATTCATGGAAAATATCTGTGAAGAAAGGGGAGGGTCAAGAAGAGACTACTTATGGCTCACAGCTTTAGTCAATGATGAGTATGCCATCCCAGCAGTAGTACTTGGCTATTCTCTGCAATCTCTTTCTTGCATTAAGAACATGCTTGTTCTTGTTTCCCATGATGTGAGTCAACCTGCTAGAGAAACTTTGATTAAGGTACAGTTTTTATACTTCTTTGCATAAAGGTTGATCTTAGAAACAATCTCTCCTTACTATTTATTCCAGTGAATATCAAGCTTGTTGTATTGTTTGACTTACTATGTTTACAGGAAGCCTTCACAGTGGAATTCTCTCATACATGGTAGTAAGACCACAACCACGACATTATCTAGTTACGTGTTCCATTCCATAAAGTGCATAAAAGTTATATAATATTTTGTATTTTAGGTAGGTTGGCAGATCATGGATGTTACAGCCATGGATTGCAAATGGATGGAAAAGCAATTAGGACAAACTCCATCAGGCAGAGGAATAAAAGGTAATATTTTAAAGAATCTTAGATTGCACTCTGGAAGAAKGATCGGGTGTCTTCTCGTCACACCTGTTATCACATAGCTAACTACTTTTTGTCYTATAACAATGTTTTCCAAAATGTATAAGGTAAAAAAAGCATAATGGAATCTTAAACCTTCCAAGGACCACAGCTTGATCCACCATTAACACAAATTGTATTTAATTGTATTTTTGCAGTGAAAGTCACTCCCATTAACAATGTCAACAATTGTTATTCTTGTTCATTTTTAGGAACTCATACAAGGTTTCATGCATGGAAATACACTCAGTACAGTAAGATTGTCTATGTTGATCCAGACTTTATGCCTCTAAGTAACATTGATGAGCTTTTTGAGGTCAAGGCTGATTTTGCTGCAGCTTACTGTAACAGACCTGGTACAGTSGACCCATGTTTTAATGCAGGACTTATAGTATTCAAGCCTTCRTTAGAAGACCATAAAGCTATTATGGACATTTGGTTTTCTCAATCTAAGCAAGGGACATGTCCTGATGACCAACGTCTTTTATATTCTCATTATGCATTTCATGGGAAATGGAAACAACTTCCTTATGCCTATAATGTGCGCAGGATTATCCACTACCCAATGAAAGCTTTTCATTTTGTTTGCTGTCCTCCAGACAAGCCATGGAAAAGCAAGTGCAGACCAAGCAGAGATGAAGCAAGGAGTTTTAACCGAGGAATTAGAAATATAAGAGACATGTCTCTAGTCTACTGGAAGAGGTTCTACTTTGCCCTAAAGAAATATAGCATTGATGAATGGTATAGAAAAACAAAGTACTATAATGCTGAGATGGAATTTGGTAAACATTTGTATAAGGATTGTTGGCAGGACTTTTATTAGTTTAGTTTTATACTACTAAATTATGCTAATTCCTTTTTCACTGAAATAATTTTTTTAGATAAGGTCAGTGTTGTAAAATATATTTAATATCAATTTAATAGGGCCACATTTCTTAATATTTTAAGGAATGTACATCTTTAAGAATATTAGGATATTTATATTACACAAGGAAGTAAAAAAACAAATGCCAAAATCACAATAGGATTCACTTAATATTTATAGCTCCAATAGATGTCTGAAAWTATTCATGACAAAAATCTTAGTTTGATTGGATTGTTTTGGATAACAATGATATTTTTACCATAAAAACAGAAAATCTCCATCAAACACCCTCAAATAGATTTCTTAGAATATCTCAAACCATTTGTGGAGTACAATGTATTTGTGATCAAATCAATATTGGGATCCTTTTCTTTGTATCCAAAATATCAGCAATCCCATTTTTGTTGTAGTAAATAGTCTTGTCAATAAACAAGGCCAAAAAGAGGATCTGGTCAAAATTCAGTTTTTTTGTGTGAACAGGGATTTTTCTATGCTAAAAGATTCTTTGAACAGTCAAACTTGAGCTCTACTCATCAGTTACAATATTTTATGCTCTTCTATTTGGCTATCTAAAGGTTTGTCATATCATAGTCTATGGTCATATCAAAGAACTACATTGGTAGGATGTTCTGAGATCAAGTTAAAGGACTTTCTTGCTTGAGATTTTACATTGACTGCCCTCATCATAACTTGAGATTCAACTGGCAGCAAGTCTTTCAATGGTTTTTAGATAGCTTGTCTCAACTTCTTCGTATATCTGCTCAAGTTGTTTCTGACGTTCACTTGTTGATTGAAGATTCATCATGGCACTTAGTTCTTCTGCAGAAATGTACTTCTTCATCTTTTCAAAGTCAGACTTTTCTTTCTGTTGGGCAAGCAGAAAGTTAGAACCAGAATTATTGCCAAGGGAGAAGTGGGCACACCATCAGAAGATGATGTCATTTATAAAAACATTTACAAAATAATTTATAAAAAAATAATTACCTAATGTAAATTATCTCATTATAAAAAAAATTAATTACTTAATGTAAATTATCTCATTTTACCCTGACAATGATGACAAGATGTCATCGAAATGTCGGTTATTTGCGTTAGTTTTTCTCATAAATTTACAAAATACTTTAAGTATGACTGTAGTTGTACTTTGGAATGTTAGGGGGGTAGGGTGTGCACACCCTGTACCTCCTCTGGATACACCCCTAGGGCAGCCAACTAAACTCTACACTACCAGAAGACCATTGTCTTTACCTGATAAGAGGTATTGAGTCTTTTTTTTACATCCAGTCGATATTCCTTATATTCCTTGGCATTGCTCCTATCAGTTGCTTTTAAGCGTAGTATTTCATACACCCTTCGACATTGTAGCTATTCCCACAAAGTAAAAAACAAAAAAACAATTATTGCACATGGCCTAAACATAAATCCACTAATCAATTCATTTGACTATACCTTATTTATTTTCCTTGCTTTCTTTGCTTCACGTAACAAGGTATCAGTAAAACCTTTTTTGAGATTATCAGGTGAAAAACATTCTAGTTTACTACATGCTAGTGAATCAACATAGTCCCTCAAGCGAAGAAAACTGTTTGATGGATCCTCAACTAAAAAAAAAAGAGATGGTACATTTTAAGAGTTCATGCACCCTTTATATAAATAATGTTTTTTTATTGGTCCTTCTGATTAAATAAAGTATAGTTCAACATTCTTATATATAATAAATCAAATGTCAAACAAAAGTGACATACCAGTGATGTCCACAACTTTTGGGTCTTTAATATAATGTTCCTCAACTACACGCAGTAGTTCAGCTACAATACAAATTAACATCAAATAAGTTCATTTCTCAAACCTTTCTTTCCTATTCCACAATATTCATTCAATGGCTAGATTAGAAGTCTTACCTCCATGCCCTTGCTTCTGATAGGGTGGAAGAAGCAGCATTTGACTGAAGATAAAATTTTTTAGTATCATCACCAGATATAATCAAATCATCAAAAACAAAGTCTTTCCATAAAAAAAACTTCCCATGAAATTGTTTTTGTGCTTTGACATTGATTGGCTGTTATCTATTATTTACTTGTGTTTTTTATCATTTCAATTCTAACTGGGAGGGTATTAGACATCATTTAATTGGGGGAAAGGTAATACCATAACTACTCGCAACAGTACATACCCAATTCTAGGTCGAATTTGGTCAGGGTAGGCAAAGAAGTGGTAGACTGTCACATAACCTACTGTACTGTACTGGACTTCACCACAGACATTCTTCTTTTCAAACCTGTGCAAAAGACAAAAGATGAATTATAGTTGTTATAAACTGCATCCAAACTAATAAATCAACCATTTTGCCTTTAATATTTTTTTATATGACTTTAGAAGGTTTTGCTATAATATACTTACAATAAAAAGAACTGCCACTTTTCATCATCAAAGTCTGTAAACAAAATATTTTCAAATGTCAGCTATGATTGTGGAAAATATGAAACCTTTCTATAAAGACAAACCTAAATATGATGCTCCATCAATGTACCAAAGGGCAAACATTTGAAGTCTACTGTAGAATTCTTTAAACTTTGGAACAAAGATATCAGCCTGMARAAAAGAAAAAAATACTGGTGATATGGAATATAAGTGGAGGTAAGTGTCTCCTAGCATTTGACAAGGACTTGGTATTTTTTCAAGCCAGGGTCATGAGGTAAATCATTGGCCAATTCATCAAAAGACTGCAGATAAATTGAATATTRATATACTCACAGAATATATTTCATARTCAGCATCATTTTGTTTGTAGCTATGGATCAATTCTCCCATTGGTCTGAAACCGTTTTCAGATGGTAACTTTGCAATAAATTCATCCAAGTTACTAAGATATCCTGTTGCAACAAATATAAACAACAGTTTCAGYGAAAAAAATCACAATTTTTGGATAATAATGACTTTCAGTGATATAATCACAAGTTCTCAACACTAACCTCCTGAAAGCCTTTCTGAAATAATCTTCAGTACAGGATCAGGCTAAAAAAATAGAGTACTGTCATTGGATAAWAAGTGACAAATCATTCATGTACAACAATAAACAATTTATCATAATTATGTTAAATATTCATATAGAGATATAAGTCATAATATATCAATCTTACCTCAATGCCTTCCAAAATCCCAGTGACATCTGACTCACATGTCAATCCTAAGTATGTCAAAAGGCTACCTGCATGAGAGTAAAGCTGAAAACAAGCAACAATGTTATGATTTTGAAGAAATGATTATTGGATAGTTCTAGATATTCTAGATATTGAACTGTAATTTACATTCATGGGAATTTTTTATTATTTACTCTTACATCTTTATAACAGAATGCAATGCTTAAACATCATCAAGCTTAACTGAAGCTGATTCATAGCTTCAAACTGTCACGGATAATCCCACTCTCCTGCAACAGTCTTGTCAAGCTGCCAATACATTGTCTCATATCGATCTGTCTCTTGATTTATGTTTTGGGGATTGGAAGCTCTCTGCTGCCTCATGAGAGTAGAATCCAATCTTATTGTTGTACATATTATATGCATGCATTCTAATTATACACGCCACTACATATGAAACATACCTGAACTTGCAATCCTTTATAACCAAATATAGATTCACTAAAAAAGACAGACTCCATTAAGCTATATTAAGCTTAACTGCGTCAGGTGCAATGACAAACTTCGTAAATGCCTACCTGTCACCAAAGAGCTGATGTGAAAACTCAGGATGAAACTCTTTACCCTTGTCAAATATATCATTTTCTGCAGTCACTTTTTCCAAAGAAAGAAATAATCGCCATCAATCAATCATTTCATCTTAATTCTCGACCCTAGCTAATGCTTGCAACTCACCTAATTTGAAGCAAACTGCACTGTTTGCATCGGTTTTATACGAGGCAAGAAAGTCTTCTGCCGCTGCCATTTGTACTGAAATAGATACATTANTACTTATAAATCTTATGGATTAGACTCATTAGGAATGCCATGAATAGCAGACAAAGACAATTTGAATAGCTTTTGTTTCAGAAAGCCGTCCGGGAATTGAAGAACAACAAACGGTGCTTCATGCATTCAAAATTATGAAAACTGAAAACCTTAATGGAGATGCAATAAATCAATATATTTCTGTTATATGTATTTCCTTCGCTTTTTTTCCCTCCCGAATAATTAATGAGTTTTTGAAGTCGTTCAAAGGCCTCCAATTCGGACTTGACGGGATTTCAAAGTCCTTGCAATTAGTTCTCGGCTAGCGCCTCGGACTGGAACTAATTGCGCGGACTTTGAAATCCCGTCAAGTCCTCATTGTCGGCCTTTAAACATTACGTCTCATATCGATCTGTCTCTTGATTTATGTTTTGGGGATTGGAAGCTCTCTGCTGCCTCATGAGAGTAGAATCCAATCTTATTGTTGTACATATTATATGCATGCATTCTAATTATACACGCCACTACATATGAAACATACCTGAACTTGCAATCCTTTATAACCAAATATAGATTCACTAAAAAAGACAGACTCCATTAAGCTATATTAWGCTTAACTGCGTCAGGTGCAATGACAAACTTCGTAAATGCCTACCTGTCACCAAAGAGCTGATGTGAAAACTCAGGATGAAACTCTTTACCCTTGTCAAATATATCATTTTCTGCAGTCACTTTTTCCAAAGAAAGAAATAATCGCCATCAATCAATCATTTCATCTTAATTCTCGACCCTAGCTAATGCTTGCAACTCACCTAATTTGAAGCAAACTGCACTGTTTGCATCGGTTTTATACGAGGCAAGAAAGTCTTCTGCCGCTGCCATTTGTACTGAAATAGATACATTAMTATAAAGGTTAATAAACTAGTTGATTTATTGTCAATTTGAGTCTTATTTTYACAGTTCAAATCACATCACTTACTGTCTGCCATTTTGACTCGTTCCCGCCAAAAAAATCGTGTGTTCGAGCGTTCGGGTCAGCGGATCCATTTCCACAGGAATCCCACATACTAGTAACGCACTTTTWGCTTATTTTCTTTCTCTCCTTTTTTCACGCACTTTTAGCTCATTTTCTTTCTCTCATTTTTTTCCCGCGAGTGCCRACTCGATTCACATAAGTACTYTCAGTACCAAAARCATGTAAAAACCCGCGTTAGGAGYCGTTAGGAGTGTTACTTTCGTAAAAACAAGTATTATACGACATAGTTTAAGTAAATATTGCTGCTCGCAGAGAGGGTGTTAAGGATGGCGCGTGGTGAGATCCATTGAGCACCTATATCTTTTAATACATTATTTGTATTCCGTTGCACGTTATAATAAAAGGACGCAGCTCCCTCCGCCAACAAAAAAATACAATCAGTTGGTGATGTACATCGAAAATCAGTCACTTTACTGAAGAGTCCCGCATGACTCAACGCAACCTCACATTGCCGACTTTAGTCAAAATGAGAAATACTTAAACGTTTTACAAAGTCACACAGTCTTTTCTTTGGTACRAATTTCGTGTCTCTTACARTTGCTAACTGACTGTGATGATGCTGGAAACTTAGAAACCTCAAGCTACTACAATAAAACACGATGATGTTGAGCGCAGCTTTAGTGCGAACTTCATCCTGTAGTATACCAAGCTCAACGTGGCATAGATCAGGCACGCCTTGAACTAATGATTCAATGGCTTCGATTGAAATATCCAGTGTATTTTTAAGAATAATCTTGTTCAATGACTTAGAAAATTGTCCTAATGTTATTATGGTTTTATCTGTTATTCTAGTGCATCCCGAGATATTAAGTGCTTGAAGTTGATGACATTTCTTCAAAACTTTGATAAGGCTCCTGTCTGATATCTTAAAGCAATAAGCAACTGATAAAGAAGTTAACTCCGTGCATCTTGCTATTTCACTGATRCCCTTGTCGCCAACTTTGCAGCAGTTGTTCAAAGTGATTTCTTCTAGTGGGCACGAGCGTGCTATAGCTTGAATTCCATAGTTGCTTATCAAAAGTCTATTTGATAAGTCAATTTTCCGAAGTCTAGGGCAACATTTAGCAAGATATTGAAGGGTGTGGTCAGTGATCAATTGACAGTGAACTCCAGAAAGATCTACCATTTGAATCGCTGTTGAAGAGGAAATGAGTTTCTCGACACTAAGGTCGTTTACTAAGTTGTTTTCTGGTGAAATTAATATTTTAAAATCAACAAATCTCCAGAACTTTGAATCACGTGACAATCGGTTCCATGCTTGACACACACRGCAAATGCGCATGCGGTCTTCAAAGGCAAGGTACGAAAATATCCTAAGCCAAAGGTCGTCGGGAAGATCTGGGTAGAAGCTGACATTTGATAGTCTTCTGTATGATATAAGCGTTATTTCATCCCTRAAAAATATGATATGAACATATAGTAACTAAGTTAAATGTGGAAAGCCATTATCATTAAACAAATTGTTATTATTATTTGACTGATAGTACTTTTTGACTGTCTGAAAGGCTAGCGCTAACCTACTCAATCGTATACTTTGCCATACAGACTCAGTGCTGACTGACTGGACTGGCCAACTGAGTACTGTATGAATGTCGACCTGACTCACTGCTTTAATTTGTATGGACTACCAGACTAATGGACGTTTTAAACCGATAGCAATAGCAACCGCATAGCAACTTCCTGACTCAATACAATGCTCACATTTCCAAATTCCTGAAAATAACAGGTTTTGGCAAGAAGCTTTTGGCTGACATGTTGGTATACTGGACCAAAGCGATGTCATCACAATGTACATCACAAATTGTGAATAGTGTACATTGAATGAAACACTTGTTGTACTAGTGATATCAATGACTATACTCAGGTGTCACTTTCATAACGTACTGTATGTACTGTAATGTATATGTTATATTTCAATTGCCCTGTTGTGTGTCGGGATAAAAATGATGGCAAGTGTCAGTAAGTAGCTATCAATGATAAGAACAATGAAATTTGAAGAACTTTGAAGGGGGTGATCTATGGAAAGCGCTCGTGTTTTTTTCCGTACTAATTACTCAGGCACAACCTGAATGAAACATAAGCTCACTTTACTAATCAGGCTGATCTTCCTAGTGAAACCTACTTTGGATAATCGCGCGGCATATAGTTTTCATGAAACGCTTGTAAAGAAATKAAATCCCGCGAGGTAAAAAGGCGGCTGGTGGAGAGACTACAGCAGTTCACAATTGGCATYCCGGAAAAATAACTCTTCAGTTTTAGTGACAGTACAAGAAGCGCCTTGCCAACTATCGTTGCATACTATATAGTAGGACCAGCATCTTTTCCATGGTGCCTGTATTGACTTTATTTTCAGTGTTAGATCAAGTCAGGCAAACCATTAACGCGCAGTGGAAATCTTAACTTAATCGAAAATCGTCAGATGTACACACACAATGTTTGTATATCATTAAAAGCTAGCAGACGATGATTCAAGCTAACGTTTGATTATGATGCACATCGTCAGAAAACATWATTCGGAATTAATTTAGTGGTTTTCTCCATTTTGTCCTCCCGTCAAGTATGCCACCTGACAATTCTTATCTAGAATTTCGATGTTCAAATTTTTATTAATTCCTAATTAACAATCAAAAGTACTTAYATCAAACAAAAAAGGACCTCGCTTTAAAATCCATAAATGACTGAAGGCGTATTACTTATTCACGGATGTGGTCAATTTATTCACATGGTACCTGTCACTGGTCAACGCTACMGCGTCCTCTTGAGCTTATTAGTTTATTTTTTAAGTATTTCCTATCCTTAGAAAGAACATTGGTTTGTCATATTAATGTACTGCACATCCTCTCATGAAATGTTTATTTTTTTAGATTTATGCTTTAGTTGTGAGTACATGCAATATATCTCAAGCTTTAATTATACACATATCATGTAATTAGATTGAAGGTCAACTGTTTTTTGTTTGTTTCTAAATTTATRTTTTTACAAAAACCGAGAAAAGCCTTTTGTTGTCATGAGTTTCCCGGCGCTAACATTACTGGAATTGCTGTACTATAAAACAAACAATTTGTTTTATAGATCAGTTTCAGTAAATCGGKGGAGAATTTTATCACTAGAAATTAAAATATTTTACAATAGTAACTCAGCAAAACAATTCCTAGCTGTTTAAGTTTAATCATTTTGTTTATATGTGAYGTTTTTCTCTTTTGCGCTTCTTTCTTTGCATGTAATACTGTTACTTACCGGTCTAGTTCATCACCTTCTGAAGTACTGTACACAAGGGAGTACCTATTTCTCGCCAAGAAAGCCCCCATAACGCTCTAAAATCGAATTGAATTGTGTCAGTATATGACAACTCCACAGAAGATATTTAAACTTTCAGAAAGAGCTAAAAATCGCCAAAAGGCCTCCAGAGRTGTTTTCATGTGTAGGTAATTGTTCTGTTCCTGTAAGGGTATTATGTTAAACGAGGCACAGGTGGTTTTAGTGACAGTGTTGGCAGTAGCCCAAWCATAAAGTCTACAGGAAAACACTGTTTTGTCTTGTTGAGGCAAGCCCTAATGACCTAGACCACAGAAAATAAAACCAAGAAGCAATATACTTTTCAATCACAATATATGATACCATCATGGCACTTTTTGTCATCAYATAGTATATTTTGGATTGGAAAATAACTCCCAGATTTAATGCAACTGCAAGTATTAACTGATACACTTTACTCATCCAGCAAGAGTAATTCCAATTAATTGTAATGGGGACCAACGACAATGTGGTTAACGCGCGAAATCCTTGTGATTTCCTAGTGCGCATGCAGTTGTTTTGAATTTGAAAGTCCATGATGATTACCCTGGTTCCATAAGTTCCAAAAAAACAAAAAATAGCGTAAAAAATTCCAATCATGCTTGTCGGCGTATGAAAGTCAACTGCATAGAACAAAGGACTGTGGTAATCCTATTTTTACATACATGCTCCTCGCACATTTCGTGTTAAGACCGCAATAGCAGTTTTGGAAACCGCAACTCTATACAACAATTTCAAGTTGAGCAAGAAGAAAGCGAATACAGTGAATCATAATTAACATCTCAGCGCTTATGGGAAACGCAAAAAGGAATACACTGACGTAAAAGTACCAGCCGCATACATCAGTTTAGTGGATCATAATATAGTCAAACTCTGTCTGACTTAGAGCTTAGACTCGATAAGTATATGAAAACTGATCAAGATTGCTTTGGACCCACTATAGTGCCACCTTCATGCATTCTTGTGATACAAAGCCGTTTTCATTGTATTAAGAAGCCGCCAYGGTACTTGATGATTTGCTGGTGCCTCCGGTGACTCTCATAAGGGAGAAGGGGGGAAGTGGGACAGATACTCATCTTGAATCAGGAAATGACCCCTAAACGTGACCTGTATTGAGAGATGATGGGGCGTGGCAGTGATCAACTTTAAATTTCAAACTCTAAAAGGGATGACGAGGACCCCCATAACWTTTATGAGGGAGTCACACCAAAATTTTGAAAATGATTATTCATCATATTCAGAGTATTGGAAGATAAAAAAAAGAAAAACACCTTTATTGTTATCAAATGATATATTTATTTAGTAAGTTTGAAACCAGAGTACAAAGGTATGGGAAAATCTCAAAAGCACACAAAAGTCATGATAGTTGTTTATATCAGTGACATTTTGATGACAGAAGATATGAATCAAAATTTTATAAAATTGTAAAAGATTGACCATTGGCAGCCAAGCTATTTCATCTAAGGTGCCTTGACATATTTAGTACAGTACATTTTTGTATCATGGTGATCTTGTCTGCCTTCTGATTGCTATCAAGGCAATTGAAAATTAACACAAATCACTCATGAAAAATGCACTACTGTGGAAAGTGCTAGTGTGACTTCAATCAAAAAAACTAACTACATGTGCAGTACAAAGTAGAGCTACAAAGGCGTTTACATTAATGTGACTATTTTTATACCTATGAGACTGAAATAGCTAATGGTAGCAATGRTCTCAATCAATAAAATGATGWARTAATTGMATTATTTTAGTCTGCAGGTAAGCAGAGGTAAACAGCTAATCAGTCTTTTCTGGTGGGACAATAGCCACAGGAACAGCAGAATGGTGTAGTACATAGTCACTGACTGAACCTAGTAGAGTACGGCGAATGGTATTCATACCACGCGTACCAACAACAATCAGATCAACATTAGCAGTTTTGGCTTCATGAACAATCCCTGGCCCAACTTCATCATGAGAAGAAGCAACAAACTTTCCACTAAATGTCTAATGAAAAAAATCAATATTTTAATATATTTAATATTCATAAATTATCAAAATGAGAGAATAGCCAGGTAGCACTTAGTCTCCTCTCGCAGCCGTTAGGACGTTCGTTCCCAGGTCTGGTACACTAGGTAGCACTATCAATAAGACTATGTAGTATTTAGAGATTAAAATACACTTACCTTGTCTTTGTCATGTATTTCTTTTATCTTTGAAGTACAGTAGACTTCGATCTCTTCTTTGGGCTCATTATGTTTTCTCATGATTTCTGCCCACTCTTCATGGGGAATATTCATCCCTCCTGTGAATTTAATAAAACAATTATTTAAAATGATAAATATTTGTGACTTTTGGTATCTGTAAGTCTTGTAGTTTTCTCCTATAATGACTTTATTATCTTAAACAACTTAGAGTTATGGTTTACGGACTTAACTCTTGATATTGAAGTAATAAATAATAAACAATTACTGATAATTTCTGTTCGTATCTTTTGGCTACTTGACGTCTTAAACCTAGTGTCCATAAAATTATTAAATCATTCAATTGCACAAAACATATTTATACTTACCTTTAAAACTGAAAACTGGTAGATGAGGAGTTCCTGGGACATAAATGAACACCACACTATCACCTGTCTTCCTTATTTTGTCTCTATAAACTGCAATAACAAATRCAGTAATACATTATTTTAAACCTTTCTGAAAGCATCGTAAAATAAACAAAACTAGTTTCGTACGCTGCAATAATATCCTGCATAGGTTGTATAGACTGATACAGAGTGAAGTCAATAAAAATCTTGAGGAAATTGTTGGGCTTCCTGTGGAATATAAAATKATTTTGTACTGAACCTTATTATGCAGTGCGATTGCAACAAAAMCATWTGTATCAAAACCTACAATGTATACCCTACAAGTAATTCAACCTTGCAAGTAATAACATTGAAATTTTSCTTCTATAKTCGAGTATTCGTTTTTATTGCGCCCACCTCATGCATTTATAATAACCCACAGCAGCTTCGTCAAACACTTTGAATTCTAGTTTTTCAAATATTATTTTGTTCTCTGACTCTCGATAAATTCATTATTTTTTTCATCGCAAAGTACAAGAATTATCACATGATACAAGTACAGTTTTTGACCCTTGAGTGCAACCATGACGTGTGAAGAAGGTGTTACAGTATTGTGGATATCGTCCAGCTATGTCTATAATACTAATGACGAATATATTTTTTTGATTTGAAAACCAAGCAAAGTCTCTGCTTTCGTCTTTTATGGCTTACATACGATGATTAATCATCCTTTTCAGGTATATGTATCAGGGGGTTCTTGTTTTCCGKTTATTTTAATATCGTGCAAAGGTCCGGACTCGTTTAGAGCGTCTCCAAATATAGCTTCTTCTAAATTCTCAGCATGCAATGTCCAATACATGGCTTCCAAGTTTCAATCTACAGTATTTCTAGCCWTTAAAGAAACGTATCTATTTACATGCTGTACAATTTATAGTATTTATGGGAAATGATTAATGATCGAACTTGATAGCAATGTCGAACAAGTCTTAGAACATCGAGAGGGCCACCCAATCGGTCATGAAGGACTTGACTGGTACAGGTTCACGCCTACAAAATCAGTTCTCTGCATATCAACAACCTGACAATTACTGTGTTACTTACAATCCACTGCATGTTTGCTACATTCACTGCCATCAACACATATGGCAATTACTCTCTTGGAAGCCATGTCGGGTAAGGAATCGAAGAAAACTCACTATCTCAAGCACGTCACGTCAGTGTGCGCTAAATTACAGCAAGGAAAGAATACTTTTATAACACCGTTTCTGATTGGTTACAATTGACCAATCATAGTCTCTGTAACAGTAAACACTAGATACCAGATTTCTACCGCTTACCGGTCCAGTGCGTTTTTGCTGTATTTACATCATCTTCATTGACGATGAAGTTAGAGTAGGACGACACTCCTTTGTTTATTTCTTCCGTTACAYTTATGGCTTCGACTAAAACACATGAGAAAAATACAATTGTTATTCCAGTAGATGGGAGCAAAAACAGCCATCGAGCATTTACTTGTAAGTAACATTGAACAAATGACTTTAACGGCCTCATGGCCTGTCTGTACTTTAGCTAAAGCATTCTAATAAGCTTAAAGATTGAGTAAGCTTATTTCTTCTAATCCATTGTTTTGAATATTGTGAATTTGCTATTGAATATTGCAATCAAAYGAGGGAATAAGCTAAAATTTTATTTCACATCGTGACAACCTACATGATCGTCACTACGAAATGAGCACAACTGACCCTATTACTATTTCCGCAATATCACTGAGTAGGTGATAAGTAGGTTAGGAATAACATTAAACTCCATTCATGAATATTCACTATTGTAAAACTAGAAACATAAATTAATGTATTAGTGGTATTGAAAATCCATACTGTTTGACGTACGAACTTTACTATCAATCAGAGTTAGATTTACATTTTAAGTACAAAATGTCACATCTGCAAAAGGGGATGTGCTTCCCATGTACGGGAATGAGTTGTAGTATACAACAGGTGCTCCTTACAATTTTCCTGGAWTGCACAGTTTTATTCTCAGTGGGGATTCCCTGATTATTATGAAATTACCTTTAACAGGGTACTGTGAACATCTCTTGAAAGAAAATGACAAGTTGATAATTGTACATGCTTATGCAGTTCCTCCAATGCAGGCAGCAAAACACTGTAAGTAATTTTATGTACTAACCCTTACAACACCCAATTATCCACCCTGCCTCTCATGATTTATTTCATTGATTGGGATTTTTAGTATCCTTTGTGTTTTATATTTCAGCAAGTGTAGACTTCAAAAACCAACTCTTAGAATGGCAAATCCTTGTTCAGAAAGCTGAAGAAAAGGCCAAAAAAGTACTGAAGCCTTTTGAAGACATTGCTAAATCTCTTAAAGTAAGTTTTTTTTTCGATGATATCATGCAGTTAAGACATTTTTGACTTTTAAACCAATGTGAGACAACAATGAGAAAGCTTTTACTAGATGAGGATATTTATATTTCAGGTACAGGTGTCAAGCCGCTTTCTTTATGCAGGGGGAGCGGCAGGGGAAGTAGTGGTGAAAACAGCCAAAGATGAGGGAGCAAGCCTGATCATCATTGGTAGTAGAGGTCTTGGAAGCATAAGGAGGACAATAATGGGAAGTGTTAGTGATTATATAGTGCATCATACTAGCACACCTGTTATAGTAGTGCCTCCAGGTTGATAGCTGAACAATGAGATACAATGAGATACAATGCTGCTTGATATATGGTCATTCAGGATAAGTAGAGGGTATCYGACATATAGCAAGGCCTTTTTGGTAAGAACGCAAGGTTCTGTATGATTGTACAGAAAATTACATTTTTGTCCATATAATGGCAACMAATTTGAAAACTCTACATCACGTAAATACACGCCTAATTACAGAAATGTTTTCCTAAAGAAATAGAACATTTGTACATTAAAAAGACAATGAAAAGCATTCAGACAGAGTGATTTTTCTTTTGTCTTTTTGATTATTCCTTTTGCACTGAAGTGTAAAAGTTCTATTTGTACATTTATGTGACATTTTTATAAATAGGTGTACATTTACATTTTATATAAGTAGAATATAAGAGAAGTCAGGACTCCAACTTAAAGCTTTATAGCAATTCATTCAGAACATTTCAGGTTTTCACCCTCTATCAACAACTAAAACAGTTTTCCAGCRCTAGCCTACCATTCTAATCTACCTATTAAAAAAAYAAAGACAAACACAACAAAMRWGCATGCTGATAAAAAAATTACATGAATATATATAAACATTCATTAAAAAACACAGCGTTCCTGAAATCAATCAAATTATTATTCAAATGATAAAAAAATKACAAAAAGATGAAGGGACATACATGTAAATCAAGTTAATCTAAATGATAAGACAGTACACATTTCAGCTTTTAAGATACTACAGAATTTCATGCATTACTTGATCGAATCAGATATTTTCAGAGATTAAGCTGGTATTTTTGAGGGTTTTCAAATAAAGGTAATTCTCTGGCTTTAGAAATCCTTTATCACTCTGCATTCTTATTAAATTTTACGCTGGTTGACATTAGATTCGCATTTACTATTGAATTATTTAATTTGGTACACATTAATTAATATATTAGGTTTTRATAGAATTCTTTGTGTCATTTGACATCTTGTTTATACTAGAGCTTATTGTATGCTCTCAATTATACTAATTTGTCCTGCAGGACAGGAAAGGTTTTGCTGTACAATAGCAATGACAAAATGTGTTATGATACATTTATATCTAAGAAATAGAGCTAGTATGTTATAGAGGTTAGACTTATTCATGGTGCATTTAATGTACATAATAAAAGTAATTAAGTTTGTCTTGATTTGACAAAATTATTTTCAAGTTCTTAAGTAAAGAATAAGTGTTTTCTTCTTTCATGTTTACATTAGAATAATTGCTATTTAAATACATGGACTCTCTTCCTAAAAATGATGTTTGGAGTTTGTGGTCTTGATACATGTACACCTGTTGTAATACCGTGGTTTTTCCTATGCTGTTTGAGGGGGGAGGGGAGGGTTTTTTTTCTAGGATTCCTATATTGTAGCTTGTACCATTTGCTCCTCCATATTGAATATGAGAACCACTAAAAAAAATAGTTGCTGAATAGAGATAATCAGCTAATGCGTTACTATTATACTAAGTGTGTCTACTACTCACTACTGTCTAGCAAAASATTGAAAATTGTTAATTTTTCTGTAATTGAATAAGAAACAATTTTAGTACTTTGATGTTTCTTTTGGGATGTTGAATCCATTGTTTCTGTAGTTTTTAGGATGTTTCCACTTGGTTTTGTMTCAAAACAAACATCAATGAATGTAAATCAATGTTTCTGATTGAGTCTTATTATACAACTGACACAAGCCAAGTCGACTGGATTCCATTTCAAAATTATGTAAGGWAATGTAGCAGAGACAAAACACTCTGGATATTTTATTAAAATAGCTGTCTAATCACCTACTCCATGATACAATCTTGAAAGGTCAGGAGCAACAGGATCTGTTACCAGATCGCAATCTAATTATTTTCATGATTATTTTTTGCATAATATTTCARTCTTTGTGAAAATAAAGATCAAAACATCAACTAAGAAGTGTCTTTATTATGTACATTGCATTCAATTACAACATGCATGATATTATTACAAAACATTATCATATAACTACAATATTATGACATTAATCAAAGGCTTTGTTGGTGTTGCTGCTGCTGCTGTTGTTGCTGTTGTTGAGGTTTGCTATCTTTGGCTGCAGCAACCAAGTCTTGATTGATAAGAAACACAAAGCGAAGACCGCATACCTATAGTTGAAAGATTCATATATTATTCAATAGATAGGAAATTGCTCTTGTTATGATAARCACTTACTTCAAATGTTGAATTGTGATGTAGTCTTGCCTTAACTCCCATACCAATAGGTTTACCATCAATCAAGAGAGACCGTCTGCCTTCATTAACCACATAGTATTCCCCATCACTCTTAAGTCGTATCACAGCCTTAGATGATAATAAAGAACAACCTAGTTATTACCAGAATAATAAGTGTATTTTAACTGTGATTGTTCCATGGATGATTAACAGCATGAAGTGATCACTTGATTGTAAGTTCTATTATCTTYATCTTCTGTTCAATCACAAGTTGACATCCTTATAATCTTCAGTAAAGTGCTATGTGGAATTTCAAAGTCAGTAGTCTTGATGGATCACTCTGCTACAGAGCTAATACAGCTACAAACATTTTGAAATAATTGGTTATGACTAGGTTTTCATCAGCTAAAGCTATTCAATGGTAGTTTACCTGTCTTCTTGAGACTTTCCATGCAGGACCTTCTAATGATAAATCAACRTCTACTTGATTATCAGCAGTGGCACGTCCTACAATTATCTGAAATAAACATAATTATTTTAATACAAGTATTTATAAAATAACTGCTATCCATTCTGTATGAGTTAGTGAACACCTTGGGGGTTGCTAAAATAAAGCCTTTATTTACCTCTCTTGATCGCATTAAGTATCGAACCAGCCGACCTCGGAGCACTGCTAAGGTTTGGTTGTCAAACTCATTATGTGATCCTGTTGAAGTCTTGTCTATAACACAAAACAAAGCAATTTTTAAAAAATCATTGAAGTCTAATATTAGGGTAAGAGAACTACATGTCATTGTACCATATCTAATTCCAGCATAAAAATCTTACTTGATCCACAAAAATCATCTACAATTATCTGCCATTTTGGTATTTCTTCCTCTAATTTAAGAATTTCTCTCTTTTGTCTGCGATCAGCTATGGAGAGCTCTTGTTCTAAATTATCATCTTTGGGTTCTCTAAAAAGATTACATCAAAATGGATATAAGTTACACAAGTCAAGTTTAAAACAGTTGTTTTACTATTCATTCCATGATATACAGTACA